AATTAGAAGGCCATTAGGCTGAGATGGTGCCTTGTGTCTTACATAAGCACATGGAAGCCCAACAGTGGAAGGAATCTTAAACCAATCAGAAACTGCCAAGTGACTTCTAATGAGAGATTCTGCCAATCAGAAACCACCCACTAACCTCGAGGACTTTCCACTCTGACCAATCAAATGCTTCCTTTGTCTTGCCTGTGCAAACACGCCTTACAAAACCGTTTTCTCACACACCTTCTAGGTGGAGCCCATCCTGCTTGTGGTTTGGTACTGATTCACGAATTGTTGTCTCCTCCAAAAACATGCTACAATTTTTTTAATATATTATGAATTTCACTCTTGTTGCCCAAGCTGGAACGCAGGGGCACAATCTCGGCTTACCACAACCTCCGCTTTCCGGGTTCAAGTAATTCTCCTGCCTCAGCCTCCTGAGTAGCTGGGATTATAGGCATGCACCACCATGCCCTGCTAGTTTTGTATTTTTAGTAGAAACAGGGTTTCTCCATGTTGGTCAGGGTGGTCTTGAACTCCCGATCTCAGGTGATCAGCTCACCTTGGCCTCCCAAAGTGCTGGGATTACAGGCATAAGCCACCATGCCTGGCCATTTTGTTTGTTTGTTTGTTTTTTAGATGGAGTTTCACTTTTATTGCCCAGGCTGGACTACAATGGTGCAATCTCAGCTAACTGCAACCTCTGCCTCTCGTTCAAGCGATTCTCCTGCCTCAGCCTCCCAAGAAGCTGGGATTACAGGCATACACCACCACACCCAGCTAATCTTTGTATTTTTAGTAGAGATAGGGTTTCAGCATGTTGGTCAGGCTGGTCTCGAACTCCTGACCTCATGTGATCCACCTGCCTCAGCCTCCCAAAGTGCTGGAATTACAGGCATGAGCCACCACATTTGGCCTAAACAACTCTACAATTTTAATGTACCTGAGTTTATCTTTTAACATAATTTACCCTGGAAGTTTCCTGCTGTGTTTCAACATTACACACAACACATTTAAAAGTGAAGCTGGGCCCGGCTTCCTACAAGAGCCCATTAATAGAATTACAAGAGAGAAATAAGAAATCAAAGTCAGCGTGGTTTATTGAGGCACCATCGTCAGAGATAAAGACGGAAGCAAAGTCCCACAAGGTCAAGGACGTGGCTGAGTACAAACCTGGGGCAGGTGTCAGAAAGACGAGGCCTCCGGGCATCTGACTGCCTCTCTGGGCATCATCTGGCCACCAGTCCTAACAAAGGCAGTCACTGAGAGCTCCCATGGCAAGCAGCACCTCCTGCTCAGGCTCCTTGGAGTGATTTATTAAATGGAGGTGCAATGAAGAGATAAGCCCCCGACTAATTCACTGCTGATGGTGAGGAGGGAAACTCCATGAGCAAAGCAGACTGAGTTCAAATAATACAGAACAAACCTGCCTGGGTGGAGAGAAAGAGCCTGAGGTCAGGCAGCAGTCTGCAAAGTCCTCCAGTGACTCCAACACAGTTCAGAGCTAATGCCCTTGACCCCAGGAGACCTCTGCTGTGTCTAGCAAAGGAGGATTTAAGGGCAATGGTAGAGAAAGACCAGCGGGGAGGAACGAGGAAGCCTAGCAAGTACCAACACAGGTGACAAGGACCTGGACTACGGCTCCAGCCCAGGGAGACAGAACAGAGGGCTAGGGACAAAAATGATGGCCAGGTAACAGGGTAAATGCGGGGGGTGGGGGACATCCCTGTAACCACAGAGTAGAGGGCAAAGGTGATAGGAGTAAGCAAAGGCTACGGAAGGCCCTAGGAAGGCCTGGCAGGAGGTTGGCACTGTGCCAGATGCCACTCCACGTGCTGCCTAAGGCCCCAGTGAGACATTGCTGACTCTGTCCCCAAGAACCTAAGCACCCTGGGATCAGAAAAGGAGGCTTCAGCACAGATAGGGCACAGGCAATCCTGGCCGCTACCTTGAGCCCTAAAGATGTTCCTTAACATGCGGTTTGCCCTCCCAGGGGAACTGGTCAGGACCCTGGCTCATCCTGCGTCACGGCTGTCTCCCCACCCCAGCCCTGTTCCCTTCCAGGCAGCCTGTCTTTCCCTCCCTGGTGTCTGTGCCCAAAAGACCCCGTAGCTTCTCCGCAACCAGTCTTTACTCCTCAACTCAAAGGGAATGTGTTGTCACTATCTCCCCAGCACAATGCCAGGTCCAGCAATCTTCACTGGCACATGAGTCCGCAGTAAATGTTTGAGGAATGAATACATGAAAGCACACCGGTCCCTCCACCCCATCCTTTACTTTTCCTCCCTCCTTGAGCTGACTGTCCTGTACATACTACCCGGAACTGTCAGTTGCTCTGCCAAGAGCTGTATCTCTGCTGCTGACCTCAGGCCTCATGGACTGGACGAAGCCCCTGCACCTGCCTCTGGTTCTCACCATTCCCAAAAAAGGCTGTAGCTCCAAGCAGGGCCCTGTCTCACTCCTGTGAAACCTCACAGCTCAGCACAGGGCCTGTGTGGACACCTGCCAGGCTATATAAAGTGCTACTGCCTGACCAGCGCCTCCTGGTTTCACCTTTTTCCTGCCTCTCCTGAGTCATCCTTGTGCCCACAGCCTCCTCTCACTGGGTCTGGTGTTCTCTGCAGGACCCTATGCAAATAAGGGGCTCCACGACGCTTCCAGGGGCTGCTGAGATGGTTTGTGTTGAGTGCTCAATGCTGTTTCCACTCTGGTTCTCTTCCAAGTGCTCACTGACTTAGGTCAAATGACTGTTTAATAAATCAGTTGCTTGGGTAGAATGGAAAGTGTTTATCTTTTTCTATTTGGAAAATGTAAATGTCCCCAAACCACATAGCTATGTCCACAATAACATGTACAACTCAAAAAAAAAAAAAAAAAATAGCCCAGCAGTTTAAAGAAGCTATACCTGACCCAGCCAATTTGCTTTGAAGCAGCTTTTAAACTATTAGTGTAGGAAGTGGGCTTTCATCCCAGCAGCTCCTCATCCAACCGTTTCAGAGAAGACACCAGAATGCTCTTATGCTGTATGCATGAGCTGTCCAAGGTCTATCAATCAAGGTGACTCTGGCCCTTTGGGAGGCTGCATTCATTCTTCTGCTTGAATGAATATAGGTACAATTAAACATGATGTCTCTAGTTAAAAAGCTTCCACTTGGGATTTCACACAAAACATCGTAAGGTGCTCCCTTCATTTCCAATGCCACAGTTTGGCTGGCCCACGAGGCTGGCGGCAATGTACATGAATGACACACAGAGCACAAGCCTGAACGTGCATGCACAACAATGCAAAATAGTGCTAGGTATCGTGCATTGAGCACCCAGATGCGCCAGCACCATGCAAGCACTTTAGGGAGTTGCCTTTGCTTAAAATCCATGTGATCCCACAGGGCAGTTCCACCACTGCCCATTCTACAGGGGGAGATCTTGGTGTGGGGCAGCTTGGTAACTCATCCCAGGTCATGAGCAATGGGGCTAGGACAGCACCAAACACTCTGACCTGAGATTGCTTTTAGCCATAAAGAAACAGACATACAGGTATATTTACGAAAAAGTATATACAAACAGCAAAGTCTGACTAATATTCAAATGGTAGGAACACTTGATCCCATTACAAAAAAAAAAAAAAACTCAAGCAGACAAAAACTTTGTGTAATGGTAAAGAGTTTCAGGCACACAGTACTTATTAAGCACCTGATAAATGTTGACTTGCCCGTTTCAACTTTCTGTTTAAAGTGCCTGCATCGAAGCAGGCTGAGGACACAGACTGCACCAAGTACGGGTAAGGTGCTGGCTTTCAGGGAACTTAGGTACTGAAAACTGTGCTGGGTACAACACTGTTCCAAGCAGTGGAGCTGTGTACCTTCTCTTCGCTGGAACGCATGACCCCAGGAGAACGAAGAGAGGCTTATAAACACACACTGAGTTCTTCCTGTCTCTCTGGGAAGTAGGTGTTTTAAGGTGGGACCCCAAATCAGAATAGTTGGGCAACTGCCCATAGTTACACAGCTAGTGAGTTCAACTTCCTTGGGTGCAGACACACCCTTTTTAATTATTAAGCTTTCCAGAGACTGAATGAAAACTTTGAAAATTGAACTTTTGACCAGCCATTGCAGATACAGCCAGCTTCAAATATTAAACAACAACAACAACAACCCCCAAAACCTTGAAAGATTTAGAAGTCATCTTTAAGACTTCATTTGTTTAAGGTTTAAGGTCATTGCCTGGAAAGCCACCCCACAGTCCTGAGGTCCCCTGCCTAAGGTGGAGGTGAAAGTCTCTGAAAGTGATCAAGCCTTTACGGGGAAACTGCTAGGCAGTGTTAGGATACCAGGTTTCCAGTTGCAGCTGATCACTTGGCTGGGAGAAAACAGCTGCACCATCACCAAAGATACCAAAAGGGGAGCCAGCAGAAAGGTGCAGAAACCAGTGGCCCTCAAGACTGGAGACCATCGGCGTTAGACTCTAGGCCCTCCTGCAGTCTTCATCTAAGGGAACAAAATCTAGTTTCCATTTTCAGTTTGTGTAACTTTTTACTTTTTAATTATTTTTATTCATTTAATTTTGAGACAGAGTCTCGTTCTGTCGCACAGGCTGGAGTGCAGTGGTGGCATCTCGGCTCACTGCAACCTCTGCCTACTGGGTTCCAGCGATTCTCCCATCTCAGCCTCCGCGTAAGACAGGTGCCACCGTGCCGGCTAAGCAAACCAAACCTGGGACCACTGAGAGGCTCTTTACAGATCGGTTTCATCCCGTTTTTTCCATCACTCCCTTTCAGTCCTTTTCTGTTTCCCGCCCTTTCTAGACGAATCCCTCCTCGTTTCTAAATCCGGGAGCCGGGGGACTCGGGGAGAGGACCCCAGGGACGGCAGGAGAAGGGGACCCGTGCAGAGGGGAGACGCTCCGGAGGGGTCGGCAGGGAGAGGGCGTCTGGGTGGGGAAGGCTCCCGGGAGAGGGCACTGGGCAGTGATGCGAGGGTTGGCGAGGACGCCGGGCCGGGGGCCGGGGACGTTACCGTTGTACGTAGTGGACGAGGAACATGGCCAGGAGGATGCAGTTGGGCGCGTAGCGGAGGCGCGGTGCGGACTCGCTGGCGCACTGGTAGAGCGGCAGGGCCAGCGAGGGCAGCTCCTGCACGGCCCAGGCGACCCGTGCCGGCACCCGGAGCCTGCACCTGGGTGTCGCCTGGCGGCCGTACGGCGAGTTCCTCTGCTGGTTCACCCCGAGGATCAGGCAGCCAGCGGCGCACTGCAGGTAGACGAGCGCGGACAGCAGGCGCTCCTCAGCCACTGCCGTCGCCGTCGCCATCGCCGAGGCTGGGCGCCACGCTCCATGCCCCGGAGGACGCAGCGGGCAACATATAAGGTGGCGGCGCGGGGGCGGGAGGCGCGGCTACACGAAGCCTGCACTGCCAGGGCGCGACGGGACCAGTCCTGGATTCCGGCCTCTCTGGTGCAGTCAGGGCTGGGGGCACGGCCCCCGGGGGCGGGGCGAGCACCCTCGCGGGGCGGGACCTGCAAACGCCCCGCCCACGCCGGGGCGCCGCAATCACCCCGCTCTGCGCACGCGCGGCCTCAGGCTGTCCGAGGAGATCCCTGAGCCCGCGTGGGAAACCCAGGCGCTTCGCACCAGAAGCCTTTGTGGCTACTTCTCGGAGCCTTTTTCCCCTCGGAGCTGTCCGCGGTTTTCCCTCTCACGCTGTTTCTCGGGAGGATGGGCTGTGCGCTTTGGGCTTATTTCTGGACGGTCCCCGAAGGTCCCCGAAAGGACCAGGCCCAGACACGTGGGGCCTTGGGTTCCGACCGGAAGTCCGGGGAGCCGTCGGGCCCCGGTTTCGGTTGTGGCGGGCCGGTTCCTGCGTGCTGCGTGCGCTCCCGGGTGGGCCATGGGGCGGCGGTCGCGGTGCCGGCGGCTCCAGCAGCAGCAGCGGCCTGAGGGCGCGGAGGACGGTGCTGAGGGCGGCGGCAAGCGCGGCGAGGCGGTAGGAGCCGGGACGCGGCGGGCGGGTGGGTCTGGGGCTCCTCGTGGGCCTCTCGGACGCCGAGGCCTGAGGGGCAGCTCCTCGGGCCTCGGGGTAGACGTCCCTTTCCTTCCTTAGGGCTGGGAAGGAGGGTACCCCGAGATCGTCAAGGAGAACAAGCTGTTCGAGCACTACTACCAGGAGCTCAAGATCGTGCCCGAGGGCGAGTGGGACCAGTTCATGGACGCCCTCAGGGAGCCCCTCCCGGCCACTTTAAGAATTACTGGTTACAAAAGGTAGGGGGCAGTGCCTGATTTTTTTAGGGAGTTGAGGCCAGGATGCTCCAGGTTAAAGGCGATGGTGTTTTCTCTGACAAGTGTTACAGTGCCAAAGAACCGTGGCGTTTCAGCGGTGTGAATTCAGGAAGCATTGAAGTGGGAGCACAGGGGCCAATGAAGTGGACGGAGGTATTGCAGGTGCAGAGTTAGAAGAGGAAGTGAAAATGGGATCTGAGGAAGTTTTGGCTCCTGGGGATTGGTGAGCTGAGGGTCCTACCTTTTGGAACGAAAGAGAGTTTATAGAGAATGTATAAAACCCCTTGATCCTTCCCCTCCCCCATCTTTGTAGGTACATCTTTCTAAATGAGTCGCAAGTAAAACTAAAACTGTAGGTATACTTGGGAGAGAAGGAATGCAGTGTTGCTCTTAGGATCAAACAGTGTGGATTGCTTAAATTTTGAAGGGATACAGTGTAAAAGTAGTGACTAAAGAATGTTTTCTCTCTGTGCAAAGTTGGCTTTAGTTTTAAAATATGTGCAGTCTTAAATTTAAAGGATACAACGTATTAGCTTAGCTTCTTAGATCAGTTTGAAACTTTCTTGTTTTTCAATAGCCATGCAAAAGAGATTCTCCATTGCTTAAAGAACAAATATTTCAAGGAATTGGAGGACCTGGAGGTGGATGGTCAGAAAGTTGAAGTTCCACAGCCACTGAGTTGGTAGGTACCACAATGCTTCATCTCGAATACTTGTTTGGGATCTCAATCTCTGTCACTTGAGTTATATTTCTTGGTACTGCATTTGCTGTTAACATGAAAGAGCCTGGGTTTTCTTTGCAGACATCCTCATGTTTTAATACCTGGTGCTTTTATCAACATTTCATTGGTATGCAAGTTTTCATTCTGTTTGCAGCTTCGTGAGTCGCTGAGTTCAGCGAACTCTTCCTAGTACATCCAGCCTCTTCCTTTATGTCACCACTTCTGCCAGCTCCATGTTACAGCCCTTGCTTTCTCATATCAAAACTGCTGCCAAGTGGCTTCTTTGCCTTCAGGAAAAGGACACACTTAGCCGGATGACAGTCTCCTGTTAGGTGGTCTCCTGGTATTTTCCATTACAGACAGGTTACCCCTGTCTGGTGTCAGGTTATCTCCTGGTACTTCCCAGTAGAGACTGCCCCAGCCAGTGTGGCATTTCCGAGTCTCAGCACCTGAGCGTACTGCTGCTCCGGGAGCTACCTCTTTCTTCACCTGTCCTGGAGGTGCCCTCTGGGTTACCAGTTCCTCATAGTTCATATCTAGTCTCAGTTGTCTGAAGGTGATTCCTTGTGCTGACAGCGTCTTGTAAAGATGCTTGGAGTACTCCGGAGGCGCCAGTCCTTTGGTTAACTTATAAATGGAAGAGTCATTAAAGCAAATTGTTTGAGTTTCATATTTCAAATGATTTAACTTTGAGGTATTAAGTTCTCAGAAAAGAAAAACGTCGTAAATAATGCTATGAAAAGGCAAATTAAGCATTTTGCATTAGCTTTTGATGCTTTGACTATTCCAGTATGTGATGTTATCTTTCCTTTTTAGATAACCTTTAATGTTTGCAAATCACAGTCAGATTATCATTAATCATGGGGGACAGATTTGCTGGCTTTTCTTTCATTGGCTGCTTGGAATTTCATTGTTCATATCGCAGATGTACATAGCATATACATTCAGAAGGAATGTTGACTGGCCAAACATTCAGTCAGTATTCAATCAGTATCAAGACCAAATATTACCATCATGGAATGTGTTTCTGGGATATGATAGTAAATATGACCAACATGGTGAAACCCGTCGCTAATAAAAATACAAAAATTAGACGGGCATGGTGGTGCACACCTGTAATCCCAGCCACTGGGGAGGCTGAGGCATGAGAATCACTTTAACCCAGGAGGCGGAGGTTTCAGTGAGCCAAGATATAACACATGTTAGATTTTTAAAAGCTTGAAGGGTACAGTATAGGAACATTTTTCTATTCCAGTGCTAGGTTGCTGTTAGTGGTCACTAATTGTCCACTGTAGTTAGGTCAGTGGAAAAGGAAGATATTTTTCAGCCGCTACTTATGGCATTGCTGAGATGAGGCAGCCTTCATGGAATCAAGCTTTTCTCCCTCATAGTAACTAGCCTGTGGAATTTTCTCAAGTGCTTTGGTTTGAAGATTTGATGACACTGATTGTGTTCTGCTTGAAGTAGAGGTCTGATGCTGTAGCAATCCGTTTTCACGTTGTTATAAGGACATACTGAGAGTGGGTAATGTATAAAGGAAAGAAGTTTAATTGAGTCACATTTCTGCATGGCTGGGGAGACCTCAGAAAGGTTACGTCATGGCCGAAAGACACTCTTCATAGGGTGGCAGGAGAGAGAATGAGTGCTGAGCAAAGGAGGAAGCCCCTTATAAACCATCAGCTCTCGCCCTGAGAACTCACTCACTGTTGTGAGAATGACATCTGGAGGGGGCTGCCCTCATGATTTAATTGTCTCCCCCTGGTCCTTCTCTGGACATTTAGGGAATATTACAATTCAGGGTGAGATTTGGGTGGGAACACAGGGCCAAACCATAAGACAGGATTATGGCTGTCCTTGGGCACATTTGTATTTTTAGCAATGATGCGTGTGTGCGCTGCTTCACACAATCACCCGGAAACATTTGTCCCTAGAACCTTGTGTCTAGAAGCACAGTGATGAGATAAGAAATGCTTTTAAGGTGAAGATGTCCCTGTCCAGCAGGACATGCATCTTTAGGGAAGAGATGGGCTCTCAACGCACATCAGTGTGGGCATTTTCTTCCGCAGGCCCCAACAAACTAGGAGAAACCATGCGATGTTAATAAGGCTTGCTATTTGTTATTATTCTCTGCAAATTGCAGTTAAACTCTGATTTGATCAGTCCTTTTAACATTTAATAGCTGCTTTTTCATCTCGTTTATTGAACAGCATGTCTGGGTATATGACAAGGCAATTACCGAACTCTTAGCATCTGCAGGTTGTCCGTAGTTGAAGAATGAAAATGAATCACTCTGCCAGAAGCCAGCTATGTTTTTGTTTGCTTAAACTTTCTGAACACACAGCTGAACAAAACATTGTATGATTTGGGTTCCTAATACTTGGCTTTTTCATTATCAATGACGGTTTCTCTATTTTATTTTGAGACAGGGTCTTACTCTGTCACCCACTGTGGAGTGCAGTGATGTCATGATGGTTCACTGTAGCCTTGACCTCCCAGGCTCAAGTGATACTCCCTCCTCAGCCTGCTGAGTAGCTCAGACTACAGGTGCATGCCACCATGCCTGGCTAATTTTTATATTTTTTGTAGAGATGGGGTTTCACTGTCTTACCCAGGCTCGTCTTGAATTCCAGGGCTCAAGCAGTCCTTCTGCCTTGGTTTCCCAAAGTGCTGGGATTACAGATGTGAGCCACCATTCTTGCCCAGTGCCAGTTTCTTGGCAGGTCTATTCTCTAAACATTTATTCATTTAAATTCACCTGTCAGCTGTAGGATACTAACTCAGCAAGCAAGTAAAGCAGAAGCTTTCCAGGACTTGGTGGTTTTCTATATTGCTCAAGATGCAGAAATAGATCATGAAATATTCTTCCCAATCCTCTGGTACATAGTGAAATATGATTTAGGAAAGTGTTCTTTGGAACTACATTTTCTGGAAGGAAAGTTATGAATAGGGCCATAGCTTGGGCCAATTTCATTTTTTTTTTCTTACTTTCTATAGACTCAGAACAGTGAGGAGTTATCCTAAAGCATTCTCATAAAACCATTGTTTTGACAACCAGTTGTTCAGAGTGTCCCTGATCGTCATTCTATTTATGTGCTGTTTTTATTTATTTATTTTGAGACAAGGTCCCTGCCCCCCAGGCTGGAGTGCAGTGGCATGATCTTGGCTCACTGCAACCTCCACCTCCTGGGCTCAGGAGATCCTACCACTTCAGCATCCCAAGTCGCTGGGACTGCAGGCCCACATCACTACACTCAGCTAATTTTTGTATTTTTTGTAGAGATGTGGTTTTGCCATGTTGGCCAGGCTGGTCTTGAACTCCTGACTTCAAGTGATCCACTCATCTTAGCCTCCCAAAGTGCTGAGATTACAGGCATGAGCCACCACACCTGGCCTGTTTATATGCTTTTTAATGTCTAGATTGAGAATGGTTTGTCATAGATGTTGTATATATTTACAGAGTTCTTACCACCTGAGAATTTTTGATAT